CGGAGCAGCGGGACGAGGTGGATATCCGTCTTCTGGATCTGCCTGTGGGGCTTCTTGAGCTGCTGCTGCCTGCGGGCATCCTCTGCCTCCCTGCAGTTGTAGGCCATGCCATCCTTCTTCTCCTTCTTACGCAAAGACAGGGTTAAAGCCAAAAGGAGAAGGCACCCACCCAGCAGAGCGGCTAAGGCGCAAACAGGCGGATCCTGGGCCAATATTTTGGAGAACGCCCCATGACGCCGGAAAACTAAGCGGACCCGGGCCAGGGTGTGCAGAGGGATGTCACCCCCATCGCTCACCCGGACCACCAGCTCCAGCTCTCTGCCGGCAAGGCTGCTGGCGTTGCTGGCATTGAGGAAAACCTGCCCCAAGAGAGGGTCCAGGATGAAGAGCCCGGCGTCATCCCCACCCACCAGGTCATACCGGAGAGCTCCGTTGATGCCAGAGTCCACATCCCTGGCCACAACGGTGAAGAGGAAGGGAGTGCCGGCACAGGACATGAGTGTTGCATTGGTCTCCGCTGCAGTCCCTTGGGAGCTCCTGTTCCCGGGGACCACCCAGAAGCACCCCGTCTCTGTATTAAGCAGGACGGAAAGCATGGCTGTACCTCCCACCAGCGCCGGCATGGTGATGACAGGTGTGTTGTCATTCTGGTCGAGCACAACCAGCCTGATGGAGACGTTGGATGCCAACTTGGGGTGACCACCATCCTCTGCGGTCACCAGGAACTCCAGACTCCTCACCTGCTCGTAATCAAAAGCTTGGAGGGCAAAAATATCCCCAGTGGTGGGGTCAATTGTGACCAGACCCGAAGCAGAGGAGTCCGGGATGCTGTAGGTGATTTCCCCATTGAAACCCAGGTCAGGGTCGGTGGCACGGACAGTGAGCAAGAAGGCAGGTGCTTCACTGTTCTCAGCAACAGCAACCTCATAGGTGACCTTCTCAAAGGAGGGGGCGTTGTCGTTGATGTCACTGATGCAGATAGTGAGATGCTTCATCACAGCCAAGGACAGGTCACCCTGGTCCCGCACCACCAACGTCAGGTTGTACTCGGCACGCAGCTCCCTGTCCAGCGTGGCGTTGGTCATCAGCACGTAGCTGTGGCTGTTGGTCCTCTTTAGCCTGAAGTGCTCGTACCCTTGACTGAGGGAGCAGTGCACTTGCCCGTTGCTTCCTGAATCAGGGTCACTGGCCGTCACCAGAGCCACAAAGCTGTCTTTGGGGAGGGCTTCGGAGAGCACGGGCACCCGCGCAGCCCAGGTGACATGGACATCGGGAGCGTTGTCGTTGACATCCAGGACTTTGACCAGGATCTTGCAGTGCGCTGGGATGGGGTTGGCGCCCAGGTCCCGGGCTTGCACGTCCAGCTCATAGGCATGGGTTTCCTCGTAGTCCAGTGGGTGCTTCAGGATGACGCTGCCTGTGCGGGCATCGATGCCAAAAGCGCTCAGCACCTCCGGGGGCGCGTGCTTGCTCAGGCTGTACTCGATCTCCCCATTGGGGCCCTGGTCGGGGTCAGTGGCCGTGACCGTCACAAGGAGGGTCCCAGGCAGAGCATCCTCCCGAACCTCTACCGACAAAGAGCTCTCTGCAAAGATGGGGCTGTTGTCATTGGAGTCAAGGACGATGACTTTAATTAACGCAGTACCTGATTTTGGCGGCTCCCCGTGATCAGTGGCCGTCAGCACGAGGTCAAAGGAGGAATGCAGCTCCCGGTCCACTTCTTTAACCACAACAAGCTCTGCATGCCTTGTCCCATCAGAGCTGGAGATGACCTCCAGAGCAAAGTGCTCGCTGGGGGAGAGGGCGTAGGAGCAGCGGGCATTGGGGCCGGCGTCAGCATCCAGGGCTCGGTCCAGCGGGATCCGTGTCTGCAGGGATGCGCTCTCCGACATCTCCAGCTCCAGCTCGGGCGTGGGGAACCGCGGCACGTTGTCATTGATGTCCAGCACTTGAACCTCCACGTGAATCAGAGCCAGGTTTCGGACAGCCAGCACATCGAACGAGACCCAGCAGGGATCGCTGTGCCGGCACAGCTGCTCCCTGTCCACCCGCCCGGCCGTGCTGAGCGCCCCATCCCCGCTCCCCACATGCAGCGGGAACCTCCTGGGGGTCTCCATCAGCTGGAAGGTATCCGCTGTTTCGCCGCTCTCACCCCCCTCGAAGTGCTCGGCCAGCGTCCCTATCACCGTTCCCGGCGGCACTTCTTCAAACACCCGGTACTGCACCGTGAATGTGGCCACCTCCTGGGCGTCGGTGGAGAGGAAGAGGTACC